GGTTCTTTGCCTCCAGAAGNCGAGACGATAAACAATTGACACAGTTGCAGGGACGCCAGCGTCGGGTTCTTTGCCTCCAGAAGTCTCGCAGCCCCAGGGCAATGTTGCTACTTGCCTGGTAGAACCGTCTCATGAGAAGTGCCTGATGCATCGGAGTCATGGCTACACGTTAGCCGATCAATATGCCGTTCCGTTCCTTAAATATTGCATTCTAGTGAAAACAGCGCCGCTTGGTGGAAAATCTGTTTACTGCAGCCATTCAAATCACCATGACTCGAAATCTATACCGTATGAGTTTTATGTAAATTGGATGCAATGTTACGGAGTTACTCTTTTTTAAAGTGATTCCAAGACCAGATCACCCTGTATTTCTTTTAGTTCTTTTGTTATCTGACCTGCACCCCTTCACATGAAATGGTAACGAACCACGGAAAAATAGAATCTTATTTGTAAAGTTGCTATGCTCCCTAATATATTATTCATTTTTCCCAGAAACCTGCCAGTCTTGGTCAATCTTTAGGCCATTGTGCAAGCATTGTAAATTACATGCAAATATCATACCCTTTAGTTGCATATAGGGGTGGGCAAAAGTAAGGAAACACGTTTGAACTTCAATTATTTTCGATTCCCACTCTTGCAATGTAAGCCCAGCGTTGATTCCCAATCGCAGGCCCACTTAGGCTTATCGCGTTAACCTAAATCAACCCCCACGTTGGGCCAACATTGGATGTTAACATTAGGCTGTGGTCCCCTACCAAGGAACTTCCAGTCGAGTTTATTTTGACAGGTTGGGAGTACTGCAAAAAGTACTACCTCCTTCAATTGTCTTCTCCTGAGGTATGAAGAATTCATACAGGAATAGAATCCCATTATATTATGAATTACTCAAATGGTTCTCTCACTGTTCGGGAAGTTGTCATGTCATATCTAATGGTGACTTTTCGTATCCCTCCCGGATCTCCATCCCTCCAAGCGGTGTAGAGAGCCTCCTTAACGGAAAGTTCGACATTCTAGTTATTTTCCCCGCATTGAGTCCGGTTATGAGTTGAACCATCGTCTCATCACGATTTTGAGTCACAAGGAACTGTTTAGCCCCTTCAAAAATACATTAATGTGGTCCAGCATCCATTGTTTGCGGATAAAAGTATCAGGTACCTAAGGAAAAGTACTGCAAAATTACCATCAATACTATTTTATACTATGGGGATACTTAAGATTTTTGCACCATTTCGTTTCACTTTGGGAAAGCATATTGTTTTAATAACTGAGACGGATAGCTAGCGCACAGATAGGACAAGTGTCGTCTGCCTCACTGGTGCTGACGTGGTCAGCCCACTGCGATGTTGGCCGACGCGATCCGACTAACAGCCAACGTGCGTCCAACGGAGTTCATCAGGGCTGTCTTTTTCCTATTCTAATCTATACTGGGTTATTCGTTTCGAGGTGGTATTGAATCAGGAAATATATCAGCGGAATACAGTCGATTCCGGTTAATCGGACCACATCGGGACGCGATCATTTTGGTCCTAATAACCGGCTGGTCCGATTACACGAACATGCCCTATGCAATAGGATTTGTTTTGGTTCTTTAGGATTCGGTCCGAATAAGCGGCTGGTCCGATTAACCGGTGGTCCAATTAACCGGATTCGACTGTATTAGGAATTAATCTTGATCATAAGTTATGTGACTATGGAAGCCACACGCGCCAACAAGCAAGATAATTAAAAACGCATGTGTTTACTAGATATGCATGGGTGTTTTAGCTAGTCTCTGAACATCAACTTCCTTGAGCTGCGCCTTTTGTGGATTCCTACTTATTAAACGCCACAATTATTAAAGCCCATTCCAGCTTCCGTTTCACAAGACGCAAGCAGAGGTACTCATCTATTTTATCTTTTGTCGAAAATGAAAAGACCAAAACAAAAAAGAAAGCTGCATTCCACCATTACATGGAATTTTGATGGCTGGCAATGGATAATAGTTTCGGGAAAAATTGTTGCTTATTTTTCTTTGATGTGGCTCAGTTTTTCAGCATCGAGGTTTCATTCGTTTTTCTCATATTGAGGAAACGAATTTCCCTCAGAGGTGCAAGGAAGCTTGGTTGATTAATCATGTGCAACATACTAAAGCCAAGAATTTCTGAGAATCCATTGCTTTTGCCATGGGAAATCGTTGGAAAGATAAAGCATGGGGCCTTGCATGATGTCACCAACCAGGAAAATCGTTTGACATACTAGATAAGGCCAAACTGTGGGATAGACTATCCATCCTTGCTGGTGAGAGTGTATGTGATACTACCAGTGTACTACCAGTGAAATACTTTGGCATTATCCTATCTTTGAGTCCCTGGATTTCTCTCAGTGGCATGGCATCGGAGTATTATAGCGCTCGATTGAGATGTTTGAAGAGCATCTTTAAGGACAGGGACACTCTCATCGACATGGAACTCTTCGTTGATAAGTTGGCGGAGAAAGACCTTATTTCGATGGCTCAAGAATGGCAGATAAAACACAAGGCGTATTCTACACAGATTGATGATACTTTCTACATCCTCTTTCAAAGAAATCCCCAGCCGACGTACGAGTGTGTTCTTCAGGTTTTGGATGAAATGCAAAGAGATGATATTAAAACAAGGCTCTTCAACTCCTTCGGTAAGCCCTTATCTGAAATACATGACTGACCAATAATTGCAGAAAACTGTTCTGTGGCTGAGGCAAATTCAATGCAAGTTTAGCAGAAAGCTTCTATAAGGAAGTTGTATTTCATTTCACGGAATTTACTTCAACAAGAGCAAAAACGTAATTTTTGGACCAAAGGAAAACGTTTGGGTTTTTCTGGAACTTGTCTACAAGGTTCAAAACTTAAAGTTTCCCTTTGCTCCCCCAATAGCAAGGAACACAACAAGAAAAAAAAGTCTGTCGATTTTACTCGATGGCCATTAGCCTCCATTGCATATAATAGATGACCCGACGGGTTTGCAATATAAAGTTGGTCAATTTTGTCATNGCTCTCCAGTGAAAGGGAATTAAACAAAAATATTGATTAAGAAAATCCTATGATCTGATCAAAAGTACATCGAAAATGATTTGGCAGGTTTTTTTGAGACACTGTGTAGGGCAAACACCCTACTCTTTTACCACTTAAGCCCTTCGCCGAGCTATCTCTAATGGAATTAAGGCAAACCGGTGAGACGATTCTGGTAGTTTTAGAGATAGTGAAATGAGATGCAAATACACAGGTATCATTAATTTTCCTTCATTCCCAAAGCATCATAACATATAAGCAAAATTGTAAGAATGTAACAATAAACCATTTCTTGGCCACTTTACACCAGTTGTTGGCCACAAGCCTTTCAAAGATGAAACATTTATATTTCCTCACAAAAGGAAGGAAAATGAAGTGCAATTGAGGAATCCGGCCTCTTTCAGGCCTTCATCAAAGGTTGGTCCAGTCCATTCTTGAAGGAAATTTTGCTCGAAATCGGCTGAAAGTCCTCTTCATCCACTCTCTACCTTGTATTATCTCCACTTCCGCTCAATCGTCCTTTTCTTGTTTTCTCTGCTTTTCTTTTTAGTTCTCTTCGCTTTTTGATCTTCTTTCTCCCTTCTGTTTCTTGTTTCAATCGTTTCTTCTTCATTTCTTTCTCCTGGAACATCATTTTCCATTTTCCATTTGACATCGTCGAACGAAACCTTTTCTCTCTTCCGGACGCCTCTCCTTTTGGGAGTTCCTGGCCAGACCAAGTAATCCTGCAGCTCTGCAGACCTTTCTAGAGCTTCTTCTTCTACTTCCTCTGGAATTTCTCAGATCTTAGCGTAAAGAGGGGATGCAGACGTTTCACTTTGCTGCTGAGGGAGAAGAAGGGCAGGATGCCTCTTACTTCAGCCTATCAAACGATGATATAGGTTCTCTAATCTTCCAAACCTCGTTTTTCAAATTTCCTTCCAAACTTCCTTCCAAACCTCATCTATGGTCTCTGGACATGTTCCCAATTCAAGGGTTTATGTCAGTTGTTCACCCATAATATCACGCGAGTCTTTCAAGGTCAGAAAGGAGATGGATATCGTTGAATCCTTGACATCAAGGCGTTCGGATAGAGAGCCACCAAAATTATCTTTAGCCTCACAGATCTCATTCAACTGGATGGAGAGGTGCGCGGAATGGCCATCCACAAAGAGGTTCACCGAGAACTCGTGCGACAACTTAGGTGTCGTCTCTCACTTTCTTGGGGCATGCGTATCTGTCGGGTATACACACTTCTCTTGCTGATCTTCACACGTCTCTTGCTGGTCTACACATTTCTTGCTTGCCTGCACATCTCTTGCTGGTCTATACGTCCCTTGATGGTTCGCCCTGTCTGAACTGCATCATATATATTTACAGCAAACGGTGGTAACGTGACATTTAAGTGATAGGGAACTTCGGGCAGGGGTGATACCTCATGTGATTCGGCACCAAGAGGGACCTGTGCGAAATACGGGTTACGGTAGTCGGATTGACGAGAAGTAACACAAGGAGGAAAACTATATATAAAATATATCACGGAAAAGTGCCGGTTCGCGGACGGACACGGGTGTAAAAATAGGGGCGCCAAGCGCCTGTCTCTGGCTAAATTTCTGTTCATGGCCTTGCGCCCGTTCTTGCGCCACTTCTTTTCATGGCCAAGTTCTTGCTTGTGGCCTAAGGCCCACTAATGGAAACTTGGTGAGAGACCATTGCCTTTCATTTTCTTGATTGGCCTGAGCCTGTTGTCTTTTGCCTTTCATTTCTTTAATTAATTACATGTATTATATTAGTTTTTCCAATTTTAAAATTGAATAGAGTAACCATGGAGCTCCCACTGGCCTTTTCAATTGAACACAGTGCTAGGCAAAGTGGCATCCTGGTCTTAGCACTACACTAATCTCGCGCACAATAGTTTTCGCAAGGGTTCTAAGATTGACGATTACTAACATGTAAAGAAGGTTCTGTGAGATACATCAGAGGTTAGAGCCTTCCCGTAAAACTTTCTGGATTGCCGCATTTCCCTGAGAGTACCTCGAATGCCACACATATGGGGACATACACCAGACAAAATATTCAAGGAAACATGTGCAGAACTGTTCCGATGAAGTAGACCGGAGGAGTGGCATCGGTTAGGCAATAATGTTGCATGAGATAAGATAGTGGAGTCCATTCAAGGTCAAGAGGAGAAATCCGCCCACGCATTTTCCCGATGAAGCAAGAAATATGGTTTCCCTCCGCTTTTGAGTTATTTCTTCTTTCATTCAAGATTTCCTCTTGAAATACATTTTCTTCAGGCTTGGCTGGCATCCAAAAGGTCCACTTACTGCCCTGAAATAAATGAATAAAAATGAAATGGCTCCACTGCAATGACAAAATTGACGTTGAAATATAACGTTTGGGCAGCCCAGTAGATAATATACGTTACCTCCGCTTACCGGTAGCTCATTTTAGCTGTGAAAAAAAAGAACAACACAAGGAACGATAACCCCCTCGTTTCCCTTTGAAATCGTTTTGAACCTAGTAGACAAGTTCCAGAAAAACCCTAACGTTTTCCTTTGGTCCAAAAATTAAGTTTTTGCTCTTGTTGAAGTAAATTCCGTGAAATGAAATACAACTTCCTTATAGAAGCTTTCTGCTAAACTTGCATTGAATTTGCCTCAGTTTTCTGCAATTATTGGTCAGTCATGTATTTTAGATAAGGGCTTACCGAAGGAGTTGAAGAGCCTTGTTTTAATATCATCTCTTTGCATTTCATCCAAAACCTGAAGAACACACTCGTACGTCGGCTGGGGATTTCTTTGAAAGAGGATGTAGAAAGTCTCATCAATCTGTGTAGAATACGCCTTGTGTTTTATCTGCCATTCTTGAGCCATGGAAATAAGGTCTTTCTCAGCCAACTTATCAACGAAGAGTTCCATGTCGATGAGAGTGTCCCTGTCCTTAAAGATGCTCTTCAAACATCTCAATCTAGCGCTATAATACTCTGATGCCATACCACTGAGAGAAATCCAGGGACTCAAAGATGGGATAATGCCAAAGTATTTCACTGGTAGTACACTGGTAGTATCACATACACTCTCACCAGCAAGGATGGATAGTCTATCTCACAGTTTGGCCTTATCTAGTATGTCACACGATTTTCCGGGTTGGTGACATCATGCAAGGCCCCATGCTTTATCTTTCCAACGATTTCCCATGGCAAAAGCAATGGATTCTCAGAAATTCTTGGCTTTAGTATGTTGCACATGATTAATCAACCAAGCTTCCTTGTACCTCTGAGGGAAATTCGTTTCCTCAATATGAGAAAAACGAATGAAACCTCGATGCTGAAAAACTGAGCCACATCAAAGAAAAATAAGCAACAATTTTTCCCGAAACTATTATCCATTGCCAGCCATCAAAATTCCATGTAATGGTGGAATGGAGCTTTCTTTTTTGTTTTGGTCTTTTCATTTTCGACAAAAAATAAAATAAATGAGTACCTCTGCTTGCGTCTTGTGAAACGGAAGCTACCCATTGGAATGGGCTTTAATAATTGTGGCGTTTAATAAGTAGGAGTCCACAAAAGGCGCAGCTCAAGGAAGTTGATGGTCAGAGACTAGCTAAAACACCCATGCATATCTAGAAAACACATGCGTTTTGCCGCTGATATATTTCCTGATTCAATACCACCTCGAAACGAATAACCCAGTATAGATTAGAATAGGAAAAAGAGCCCTGATGAACTCCGTTGGACGCACGTTGGCTGTTAGTCAGATCGCGTCGGCCAACATCGCAGTGGGCTGACCACGTCAGCACCAATGAGGCAGACAACACTTGTCCTATCTGTGCGCTAGCTATCCGTCTCAGTTATTAAAACAAAATGCTTTCCCAAAGTGAAACGAAATGGTGCAAAAATCGTAAGTATTCCCATAGTATAAAATAGTATTTATGATAATTTTGCAGTACTTTTCTTTAGGTACCTGATACTTTTATCCGCAAACAATGGATGCTGGACCACATTAATGTATTTTTGAAGAGGCTAAACAGTTCCTTGTGACTCAAAATCGTGAAGAGACGATGGTTCAACTCATAACCGGACTCAATGCGGGGAAAATAACTAGAATATCGAACTTTCCGTTAAGGAGGCTCTCTACACCACTTGGAGGGATGGAGATCCGGGAGGGATACGAAAAGTCACCATTAGATATGACATGACAACTTCCCGAACAGTGAGAGAACCATTTGAGTAATTCATAATATAATGGGATTCTATTCCTGTATGAATTCCTAAGTGGGCCTGCGATTGGGAATCAACGCTGGGCTTACATTGCAAGAGTGGGAATCGAAAATAATTGAAGTTCAAACGTGTTTCCTTACTTTTGCCCACCCCTATATGCAACTAAAGGGTATGATTTTTGCATGTAATTTACAATGCTTGCACAATGGCCTAAAGATTGACCAAGACTGGCAGGTTTCTGGGAAAAATGAATAATATATTAGGGAGCATAGCAACTTTACAAATAAGATTCGATTTTTCCGTGGTTCGTTACCATTTCATGTGAAGGGGTGCAGGCCAGATAACAAAAGAACTAAAAGAAATACAGGGTGATCTGGTCTTGCAATCACTTTAAAAAAGAGTAACTCCGTAACATTGCATCCAATTTACATGAAACTCATACGGTATAGATTTCGAGTCATGGTGATTTCAATGGCTGCAGTAAACAGATTTTCCACCAAGCGGCGCTTTTTTTCACTAGAATGCAATATTTAAGGAACGGAACGGCATATTGATCGGCTAACGTGTAGCCATGACTCCGATGCATCAGGCACTTCTCATGAGACGGTTCTACCAGGCAAGTAGCAACATTGCCCTGGGGCTGCGAGACTTCTGGAGGCAAAGAACCCGACGCTGGCGTCCCTGCAACTGTGTCAATTGTTTATCGTCTCGTCCGGAAAATTTTGAAGATTGGAAGCATTTTTCAGCGTCCCGGTCAGGTCGACCAAGCACACCTTCTTCTGGAGGCAAAGAACCCGACGCTGGCGTCCCTGCAACTGTGTCAATTGTTTATCGTCTCGTCCGGAAAATTTTGAAGATTGGAAGCATTTTTCAGCGTCCCGGTCAGGTCGACCAAGCACACCTATCGACGTCATAACTCTGAAACCTCTCCCCTTGCTGAAAAATGTCATTCGAGGCGCCATTGCTGCCATTCCCAAGAATATGCTTACGTCAGCAGTTTTGATGTCATAATATATGTTTATTTGATTCCCAATGAGGACGGGTGCATTTTGAATAGTTAAAACTGTATGTAGCGCCACATGTTTTCGCTAATGCATTCACATCCTCGTGATTCCATATGCATACTCTGCTAGTTTTATGTGAAGTGTATACGCTTTTACGGAATTGTTCTCGGAAGTGATTGAAAGACTTTATGACCAATCTGTAGTTGAAACGTGTCTTGATGAAGAAGTCCAGAGAAGCGGTGACAGGGGAGGCACTTCTCTGTGAGATAAGATCCAGGCGAGGCACAGGGGACGAATATATCTTGGCCTCCAAAGGCGCAACGATAAAAATGGCCTTCCTCAGCTTTCGCTACTGTCCTGCTTTATAGTGACGAACTCCTCCCAGAGGTGATTCCATGAGTTTGGGACACCATCCACAAGGTCCTGTTACTGTCCTGAAATAAAATTAAGTTAACACCAGGATGAATCGCAAATCTTGCCCTAAAATACACATTGGTAGAAAAAGGAAAATTTGCTAATGTGATGTGGCTTAAAATACATATGCAGTGTAACTAATAGTTTTATGTCAAGGTCTACAGTGAGTGATTTCTGTTTAACTAATCCATTGCAGCGATGGCAATTAGGCGACAATGGTATTTTCTCTTTGATAGCAAAAGGAAAGGTTTAGGCCTTAAATATGGGTGAAAAGTTGTAGAGAGCTCCAGCATCGGATATCAGTTTTTCGCTGGTATGACTGGTATTGCTAGTTTTATTTATCAGTCACTGACGTCTCTTGGTCAGTATATACATTTAAAAATACAAAGGCTTGCCTCGGGAGTTCAGGAGCTTCTCCTTGATGTCCTTCCTGTCCATTTCATCCAAAATCTCCAGGAGGCTCTTGAAGGTTGGCTCGGGATTTCTTTGAAAGAGGATGAAGAATACCTCATCGATTTGCTTGAAATATGACATCATTTTCAACTCCTGTTATATAACTCCTCATAGGGGTCGATCTTGCTATGTCAGAAAATAATTCATTTGATGGGTCTTGAATATTTCAGTTCCAGTTTTACTGAAGAAAAATATCTACTACTTGTTCTACTTTCCGAAACGAGGTCCGAAATCTATCCCCGCTCTGAGAAAAATTTGAAAATATAATGAGTCTAGAAATAGGATAATATCTAAGTACCTAACGTATAACATGGCTTATATGGGTATTGGCATGCCAGCAGTGCGTACGGGGTACTTCAATTTTATATTGAACGTCAAAAGATCGAATGAGAATGAAGGTGGGATGATGCAGGTGTTATTTACCGTTGCCCGTAAGTGTGGCATATTTGGAGGACGTCAATCTATATACAATGAATCATTCAAACCTCTTCCTAACACTCATGCATGTTTCCTCGCACTGAAGAGGTTGAATTATACAAGGTGGGCCAAAAAAAGTTCTACCTTTTTCATTTTATTGTCACATTATCGCTAAGTAAAGTTCGTGCATTTCAACCATTGATTAGAATGACTAAATTGTAATGAAACATGTTTCGTGAAAATCAGTTCAATTTTTGCCCAGTGTTCAGCGCACAACACTACTCACCTGCACGAAGGTTACTTGTTAGGTTTTTATGTTCATATTTTTGAAGTGATAGCAGGAATGCCTGAAAGGCATCGTCACCTTTGCCGATGACGTTCTGCTCGTATTTCTGGCTATCAATGAACCCATCGATCCTCAAATCCCGTAGGACTTCGAGCTTGATGAATTCAAGATCTTTCTGGTTTTGCAACATTACATCCGTGATTGGCTTGCCAGAAGCCATAGCGTGAATAAACCTTCAAATCCAATCAAATTCAAATTCACTCCCTTCAAAATTCGATGTATACGAACTGCAATGATAACAAGATAAGACGTTGGCCATAATATATCGACCATGCATTATAATTGATCGTATAACGTTTAACGAATGCCCTAGAAATGCAGCATGTTTTGTGATCAAACGGCACATTAACTGAGCTCCAAAAAGGCGCTCCTTCGTGTACATAGGACGTGCTAAAACCTCTTTGAAAAAACATTGAACGTGCTCGAAAGCTTTCATGTGGAAAGCAGCATTTCGCGAGGAGCTTGTCTTCTGGCCCTAGCAAGACTGTTTTCCACATCAATCTACAACATACCTTTCCGGTATCGGCGCACAAACGCGAGACCGCAACCACTGGAAATGAATAGTCCAAATGTGAGGTGCTCCAAGTTACAGGAACATCGACGGCTAGCATCGTGCTTCAGCTCATACGAATGGAGGAAGACAGGGAGCATATAGGAAACAGCGCAGTCTGGATTCATGATACACCCTTTTTTTTACTGCAAGCTCGCAGTCCCATAGTTAATAATTTTATTTTGCTTGCTTGTTTGCCATCTACATATGCCACTGCGATAAGAGAAAACGAGGCAACCTTTGAAGAACTCTCACGTTCGTCGGTTTCCTTGCGTCATTCTTGAGCGCTTTCGAGGGACGGAAGATGATGTAAGCAGTGGATCATTCCATACGAAATGAACCAATATTGACCTAAAATAACGCCCGACAAACTCGAATTTCGCAATAGAAATTCTCAGTGATTCCAGTCAGTCCAAAGACCCCTGAAAAAATGTTCAGCCCCCATAGATTCTTTAGACCCCCATTGGTAGCGAGACATCCCCCCCGAATCTTGGGGAAAATGGGAAAAAACACCATGAAATGGAAAATTTGCATCTCAAGAACCGTTTAAAGAACGGAGGTGTGCAATAGCTTCAATCAGAGCTCCTCCATAGGAAAAAAATTCGGTTCTTACGTCCTCGGAGTTTGAATGAGAGTTCAGCATCAAAGTTGAATTTGAAAAAAAAAAAGAAATTTCGA